TCTCTGACTGGCATCCTTGTACCTACAGTCAGGAGGAGCCTTTCCAAGTGCTGACCAAAGGCTGCGGGAGAGCGTCACCGACACTAAACACAACTTTCAAACTGGGGATGAGTTTACCTTAAAAAAGCACAGCTCTGAGCCAAGCCTATGAAGCAGACCCTGAAATGAAGTTTCAACCTGAACCTTTGCAGTAAAATCATTTTAGAAAATACCAGAAACTTTTTGTAGCAATGAACATTGTAAATAGTAGTAGTCGAGTGCTGAAACTAGTCCATCTGAGTCTGAACAGAAGCACTAAGGAAGCTCGTGGCCGATCTGAAAAGAGTGTGGAACGTAAACCAGCACACACTGTGAAAACCCCGCGCTTATAAGGTCAGCTTTACAATTTCACGTACTGCTAACAAAAATGGATTGCAAAAAGGCTTTTAGCCTTACTGCTTCTACAATAAAGTCCTTTTCCCGTTTACCTAATATATGTTTATTTTTCCAGCAAACAAGCCATTTCAAATTCAACCTCCTAAACTCTTTTTTATCGTCAAATATTTAGGGAAAAAGTTAAAGTAGCCCAACAGCAGCCACTGTGGTTGTGGCTAATAAAATTGTAAAGGATATTTCACTTGCAATTGGCGATCTGGTCACCCGTAACATTTCTGCAGTTCTGTTTTGTACTGCAGTAACTGAGCCAAAACGCAAACGGTTTGAGAAGCCTGGTCTGAATAATTATTCTGAAATTTTGCTTGCAGTTCTATTTGCTTGCCCAGGGAGGAAAGGATGAAAAGGGGAAACAGCAGTGACGGTTCAGTATGAATACCGTGAGGTTAACATTAGAGCCAGAGACCAAACTTCTGCTCAATTCCCTTCAGTGCTAACAGGAAGAAATTATCCCTCCACATCAAAACAGTGGCAAGAAAAACATAACTACTAGCGTAATTTAATACGAATTGCTTTCAGTCTCTGAAAAGCACAAACTGGCTTTATGTTACGGGCAATGAGCTTGGCCTGGCCAGTCCAACACAGCTGCTGCAGATTCCCCTTCTGCGAACAGGAATTCCCTCCGTCTCGACACGGGGCACCTGCAGGGATCCCCAGAAAGCGCTGCAGCTCCCACTGCACAAAGTCAGCGACCCCCTGCCCGCAGTACTGCTCAGACTGCGTTTAACCACGCAGCAACCGGGAGAGGCCATTGCCGATGCTCCAGAAGGAAGCGTTGGGGTATTTTTAATATAGATACACTTTTTAAAGGATTAAAAATATGTAAGAAACCACGGAACTGTTTTCTTTACTACAATTTTAAAACAAGCGAAAGGCGAGTCCAGTGCCCTAACAGTTTAACTCACGCCAGCGACTTTGTCTGATGTCCTGCCAGCATGCTGCTGCCTAGATTTTCGGTTTCCCCGAAGACGACGTGTATTCACCACAGCCTGCGTGACCCGAGGCTAACCGCTTCCCCGTGGTGCCCCACAGGCCTGCGCACACAGCTGGATTTCACCCTAGGTCCTCTCCAAGTCACGTTAACACCCTTTTCACGGTAGCTTCGCCACAAGAACAACGACAGTTATGTTTAAAAGCTGAAAAGGCAATTACGTGATGAACACGTAGGAGAAACAGCAGGTGGAGGAGGGTGGGTGAAGGAAAAGGGGGCTGCTGTTAAATCAGGTTTTATTTTGGATTGCGAGGTGGCTTTCCTGTGGTCACCCTGCAAGGTGCCGCCGTCAGACCCAGTAGGCACAAGCTGTCATCACACCATAGCTGAAGGGAGTCTTTTGTCTGCTTCAAGGCGACTGGCTGCTTCTCCTCCCCAAACGCAAAGCTCCTCAGCACCGCCTGGAAAAGCTGAGACACAGAGCTTTCAGAAAGGCTTCTCAGTCTTCCTCCATCCAGGCCCTCGTGCCTGCCACACACAGCATGTCCTAAGAGGAAACACCACGGCTGCCCGTCGCAGCCAGCGGCGGGATGTGAGAATTGCCTTTCACGCTGGAGGCATTTAAGGGGAATGTCTTCCCACCCCGAAGGGAGAATATTCCAGGCAGTAGCCAGGAGACGTGGGTAACTGAGAAAGCTCAGGCTTCCTCACCTAACAGGCCGTCCCTGCTCATCTCTTCAGAGCAGCAGCTTCACCTGCACCGTCACCAAGAGCCAGCCAAGTGCTCGAGGCTCCGCAGGAGCCAGATATGGGCAGCTAACTCCTCCTCGCTTTCAAACAGCATTTTTCTCCAGTCCCCCAGGTGATTCCCGCAGCAAAGGAGGAAGCAGCAGCTTCTCCTTGGTCTCTCCTGGTCTTAATGCTACGAAGATTCTGGATTTTTTTAATCTTTTTTTTTTTCTTTTAACTGACAGCTGCCTCACCAGTGGCCCTGTCACATCTTTACAGAATACTGGATCATCGTGATTGATTTCAGTTATTTTTACGTGCATAAATACAGAACAAATGTGTGCAGCAGATATATTTAAATAAAAATTGACAAGATGCATTTATTGTTTTAGTTTTGTACAAAAGCATAACTTAAAAGGCAGACTAGTATAAACTTACTTTGTGCCAAATATTTAAACTTTTAATTCCGAAGAGTTTCTAGTTCGAAACTTGTAGATACAGTTTCCACCTAGGAAATCTCCTTTTTAGACCACAGAAGACACAGTATTGTAAAATCAAAATTCTGCAGTCCTTCAACCAATCAAAAGTTGCATTCTGCTTCGAGTGCCAGGGTTTTAGCTACTCAGTGGGTGGATCATATGAAACATGAGCCGTGCTGGAGTGACCTGATGAGGAGTCAGTTTGCCTACCGCTCATCCGTGTTGTGAAGAAGGATGCGCATTAGGATCTGTGGCATGCAATCTTAGCAAAGACTGATAAATATACGTGTAAAAACAGGGTGACGTGTGTGAATTTTTCTTTGCTACTTCGTGCTAGCCAGAAGTAGCGTGAGAAAAGCTACGTTTCGTTAAGCGAGTCCCAGATGTCATGCAGAAGCTCAATTGTTCCTGAAGTTAAAGAACGCTTTCGCTATGATTTTGCAAGCGGCTTTTCCTTCGCACGGGTAACGTCTTCTCGGCAAGCCTGAAGGGGGTTTTCTCAATCTTTGCTGCCACCACCACAGCCGCACTGATTCGGAGAGTGGAGCGGCAGTCTCTGCCGATGTCATCTCCACGGACATTCTCCTGCCTTGGAAAACAACTCCCGCAAGAACAAGAGGGATTCCCTTCCCAAGACGCACTCTGGAGAGTCTCCAGAGCGAGGCCGTTACTTCGAAAGCTGCTTTTGCCACAGAACAGGGCTCGCTGTGCTTCCCCCGCTGTCTCAGGAGGGCTAGCGCGAGGCTGGATTCATCTTCTGGCCATCCCGTGCCCAAGCTGGAATGGGAAGGTGTGGCGGCCGCGCTGCGTGTGGAACGCCCGCGGCTGCGTGGAGGTTGCGCGAGGCCGTCTGGAGGAAAGTACCGGAAGATCGATGCAAGCGAGCCTCGTGTATTCCAGCAAAAATTAAGCATAAAGCAGGCGGCGTCCATGCAGCGCTTGATATGCCATAAAAACTTTTTCAAATAACATCTGATAAGAAAACTATTTATCAGTGAAAATGCAAGCTCAGACGCTACAAAGAGTTCCCATCTGGTAGGTGTTCAGGGACAGGGGACGGTGGCGTTGTGACCAGCGGCTCACCCTGAAGTAGGTTACTCGTGGGTTTCCAAAGGAGCTAGTGCTTTATGGTGCTGTACAAATAAAAAGTTGTGGGGAGCGTATGAAATATCTGTATTAAACTCCACTGCATTAAGTTATCCAAGGCATGAAAAATGACCCCGATGCATTTAAAATAAATGCGTATTACAATATCACATACAGTATTATAAAATTATTACTTCTGTGCACAGTCCCGATACCTATAGACATGGCACTGTGAAGAAAGCCTGGTTCCTAAGCGGTTTTTATAGATGCTTGATAGTGATGCAGTCTGCTATCAGTCAGATAATCATGATGTCCCTTCAACTTTGGTACATTCAGTGCAAAATATTTTTGGGAGTTTTTTACTCTTATAAAAATAAAAGGCATTTCTTTTCCCCTTGAGAGTGCTTAAGGAATAAACACTAGCAGAATGTCTGCTGGAGCATGGAAAGTGACAAAACCAAAAAGAGTGTTTTAGTTTGCTTGTTTCCTGTTTACACTCGAAGAAACATAATATAATGAACCTATAAAAAGAAACAGAAGTCACTGTGTTAGGGCTTTTCTCCTGATATGCTGTGATAAATTGCTAGTTTCTTCTGAAAATAGTTTCCATGCAGTATAAAGCATAAAATCAGTCTTACTAGGTTACTGAGTTCGTTTAACAGCTCATCTTTTGTCACACACACCGCTGGCAAGCACCTTTCCACAAACCTCCTTCACGCAAGCCGTCGGGGCGTCCTGTGTTGCTCACCTCCCTTCCAACTCGCTTCTGCCCCAGGGACTTGGGCCCTGGGGTGCACACCTGGCAGGCACTCGTAGTCTTAGGTAACGCACGTACTGGATGTGCTATTATAACATATGGCATAAAGTACTGTACCTTCATGAATTACAGAAAAAAAATTTTAAAATTATCTATTGCATGATTTTTTTATCATTTACGGCGTAGGGGAAGGGGCTGAATGATTTCACATTTTGACTTGAATTTTCTATTCAACGACTTTGATGAAATCCAGTCGCCGGGTCCATGTCCGTTCTGCAGTAGCCAGGTTGATCACAGCATGGGATCACGTTTCTCGTTTGCTCAGAACACAAGAGGTTTGGCCCTCCTGAAAGATTGCAAGACTCCGTTTTCCCTGCGCTTCAGGCACACACTAGTTTCACCACAGAGAATTCTGCCACTACCACAATGATTTTTAATTGCTTCATAAGCTCTTTCGTGGAATCTCATTATTTTCAATTGCACTGTGAAACACTTTTCCTCTAGGAAATCCAATGCGAACGTTCATTCATTCCTTAAGAAGACAGATCCACAAAAGTCCAATGAGCCGGGCACTGGGGTCTGTGTATCACTCAAGTCCAAAAGTACTCGTCTCCTCAACCGCTGTCAACAGTTTTTCATATAACATAGAGAATGATGGATAAGGGGGAAGGTCCAGACGATTGAAACAAGTGTGAGCCCTGAGGGAGGGAGGGAAAAAAAAAGAAGAGAAGGTGAAGTGCATTATTTTAAAAGTTCAAAAGAGAACACACAGACCGGTATGTGCTCAGGTAGAGATGGGCAGATAGTATTCTTTCAGAAGACTTTGTTCTGTCAGATGATGGCAGTGAGATTTAATCTACTTTCTTCTAATGAAAATAAGTCAGTTAGAAGCATTTATGAAGGTCTTTAGAAACACACCGACAGCCCAAAAAGCGTGGGATAAATTTTATCCATTAAGCACGCGTGAGAAAAGAATGATACAGCATGGTACAACTCAAATAGTCTCTTCTGGAATCTTGGCTTTAAACCTATCTTCTGAGAAATGGTATTTTTTCCTGGACTGATGACACTGCAATACTGCATTTGGAATCACTAACAGGGTATTCTGGTACACTGAATATGCATTAAATATTGTATCTGATGAAATGTTAAAAAACACCCCAGGTATACAGGAAACGATTCCACAGGAGCAAAGGGCAGACAAATTAGCTGCTTTTCCTTCTATGTTTCCTTGGCGTACGGATAGCGTTCTTGGGAAACTTCTGCTTGTGCTGATTTACATTGTGTCCGTATCTGGCCCTGCAAGCCAATCACCTTTAGAATCGTATTTTTTATAATCACATGAATCCACGTGTGTACCTCCAGCATAGCGCCCCCCTTTCTGAAGAGGACGACCACGTGGTTTACTTCTCAGTTTCCCAAGTTCATCTGCCTCAGGTTTTTGACACGCTGGGAAATGACTCTCAAAAGCTCCTCCAGGGAGTGAAAAGGGAGATAATAAAGGTTTCTCCTCATCGTAGAATAAAGGATATCATGAGCCTGTACTAATGAAATAGCAAATAACTATTAGTGTGATGGGCTCTTGAGGAAGAAATGGTGCAAAGAGAAGTTGGAGGAGGCATCTTTTCTGCTCTGCAGCTTTGTTCCCACACCTCACTTGAGATTGATTTTAGAGGATGAAAACCTTCTTACATTTTGGCAGGTCTCTGTTCAACAACTACTTTACTCTTTTGCAATAAAAATGCATCACAGAGTTATTTAAATACAAACCAGTTGAAAAACAAACTTTTCCTTGGGTCAGCTGCCCTACACCAGCATAATCCGTGTTAAGCGTAAACGTTTGACATCACGTCAACCAAAGGACTGAACAAGCTCCCTCCTGGCAGCAAATGCAACTCCTCGCTTAACCTCCTGGTAATCATACAACAGACCTGCACCAAGCTTCCTCGGAGCCACAAAGTCCTGCCTTCCCTCAGAGCAAACTCATCTATTTAAGTGGCGCTCAGCTCTCAGCTACGAGCATGGAATACGACGTGAAGTGGGTTAATCTCGTTTGTTAAAAACGAAAAAAAATGGAAAAATTTCTCTTGGAAAGAAAGAGACTGATTTAGACCCAGCAGCAAACGGGCAACTGGAGCTCGATGATCCCTGGGGGCGGGTGTGGAGTGTGCAAGTGTCTTGGGCAATGAACAGTTTCACCACGTGCTCTGGCTGCGTGGGGCTGACAGCGACTCACCACAGCTATGGATTGCGCTGTGTGGGCTGCAAAACCACAAATTATAAAAGGCAGAGCGTGTAATTAGCAAGGGATGCATTACCAACTGGTTTCACAGCAAGCTGGCATGCTGTTCACATTTATTAAGAGAACTGAGTTTTATCTTAATTTGGAGGGCAATTATGAAAATACTTTGGAAAGCCAAGTCAATAAAAAAGACAGAAAGTAAGATCTTTGTCTTCTGAGGAAACATGTGCTTTTCTCACCCTAGCAAGCAACTTGGTAAGAATTTGAGAAGAAAGCGTTTTATACCTCTGGACAGTATTTTCCCATTCCAACACTTCAAACCACATGGGCACTAACTGCTCATTTTCCCAGACAGGTGGTTTATGACAACGTGAAAAACCATCTTGGTTCCTGATCTCTTAGATTCTCAATTAACCTCCCCTTCATTTTGATTACAGTATTAGAAAAGAGTGATTTAGGATTAAAATCTAGCACTATTTGCACGTGAATTTATCACCTGCCCCTATATAGAATGCTCAGCACTGAACATGGAGTCAATTTTTCAGCATGTGAGTGAAAGAGCAACAACATTCCCTCCGCTGACATAGTGTCATCCACCACACGGTGCGAAAGAAGGAAGCAGAGGTGGCATCACGGGTAGCAAGAGCTAAACTAAACCTGTAATAATCGATCTTTGCAGGGCCTCTGACATGCTACTGTCGAAATCGGTGCAAAAGCCAGTGACAGAAGCTGGGTGACCTGACCTGCGACTCGGAAATCTCACAGCTTTGACTGGGCAGGACTCATTACACAGCAGTGAGAGCAGCGGGAACTAGGTAAGCAGCCAGTGAATGCTCCTGCGTTCAGACTCACAGCTGCTTCGACCACAGTCACACACCTAAGTAAGCATATTAGTCACCTTCCATGTTGCAAAATCAGGAAGGAGAGATGGGGACAGGTACTCTTAGGAGCTTTCAGCCGTGCAGTGGGTTTTTCTCAGAAACGGAGGAAGAAACAACGTCCAACAACTTGATGAGCCCTCGCTTGTGCCACCCTCACACCAAGCGCTACCAGGCCCTCCCGCTGGAATCCAAAGGGCAATCTGCAAAGCAGAACCCTGCTACGAGCGACATCGCCTTAACAAAAACGTTTTCATCATCACAGAACAGGCAGGCGTCGCAGCGTCCCGGGGCAGCGTTCTTGGCAGATCTTGCCATGTGTTTGCACACTCAGGGCTTGTCTGGAAACCTCTGGCCAGTTTGCTACTAGGGGTCGTTGTTCAGGACGCCTTACCTTCCGGCCAGTCCTACCTGGTATTTGCACAGTCAGTCTGAGTGAGACGCAGGCTGAAGCTGCACTGCAAGCAGGAACCAGATGTGTAAAAATGCAAATAATGCTTTCTGCTTAGGGCTTAGTCCATTTTAGGCACAGCCTTGGAAATAATTCATTTTTTATGAGGTCAAGGTTCCCCACGTATGAATGCCGGGAGGTGCCAGCTCATGACGACTGTAGATGTTTGTCATACACACTTGTTTTTATTTTAACAAAGCAAGTGTGGTGTTGGTTTATTTTAATACTCAAACTTGTGTGTTAAAAACTATCCATGGAGAGAAAAAATCCAAATGTTTCCTAACCAAGGGAATCCGAAGGCCATGACACATCTCCTAAAGGTGGCTTTTCCCCTACACTTGTTACAGCAAGTAGCAAAGGCTCCCGACGCATTTATCCCTGTTGCACTAAAAGAAGCAGTTTTACTCTGCAGTTTTTTATAACTATAACCAGGGCTCTGCGTAATCTTTTCAGAGGAAATTCTGAGAGTCCTGTTGTGGCATGCCCTGACGTTTTCCATGCTGCAAACTGTGCTTGTTAGCACCAGAACATTAAAGAATACGCAGAAAAAAACTCCCACGATCTCTTTTCTTACCTGAACTCTCGTGAAAATCTTGTATTTTGAGATCTGAAATTTTTAAAAACCAAAGCTTTTTCTTTCTGGAGGAACCTTGTTTGTGAGGGTTGGGCTAGGATTAGGGTTTGGTTTCCTAAGCCCAAAGCTACCGCCATGGGCTACGAGCAGCAGCACACTCAAGATGAGTTCTGATGAAGGAGGGTTAGATCACCCACACTCTGCACACTAATCTGTGCCTAACCACTGATAACCCGTCCTGAAGGCTACAGAATTACAGGGCTGGAAGAATGGGAATCTTCCAGAAAGGTATCAGCCTATTCACAATAGAGAAAAGGTTAGAAACTGCCCTTTCTTGTCAAGGAAGTGTCCGTGCTAGACGACGTGTCCTCCATCACTCGCACGTTATTAGTCTAGTCCTGGCAGTGTTACCCCAGACCTCCGAAAACAACTCTTTCTCCTGTCTTACAAAATGGAAAATTTAGAAAAGCATCTTTTTTTAAATTACTGGTGTTTTTTTTTTTAACCTTCTCATCCCACTACTCCAAAACTGTCATTCCTCCATTTAAATGCTACCTCATGTCTGCAAGGGCTTGTACAGCTCAGCTCCTGCTTTCACGTCTGGGCTTTCACACTGTTCCTTTACCCTCTTCACCTATTTCAATCGATCCTACTTGTCCTCTTTGAAATCTTCACCTGCTCTCGTCCCTGCACTGCCTCTTTAGTCAGCCATTGCCCCTTGTCCTGTCACTGGGTACAAGCTGGAACATAGGAGGTTCCACAAAAATATCAGGAAAAACTTCTTCCCTGTGAGGGTGCCAGAGCCCTGGCCCAGGCTCCCCAGGGAGGGTGTGGAGTCTCCTGCTCTGGAGACATTCAAACCCCCCTGGACGCGTTCCTGTGTGACCTGCTGGAGGTGATCCTGCTCTGGCAGGGGGCTGGGCTAGGGGATCTTTTGAGGTCCCTTCCAATCCCGAACTTTCTGTGATTCTGTGAGCAGGAGCAGTGAGGGGATCATGCCCCTGTGCTCGGAGCGGTGATCTTCCCCCACTTCTCCACGCAGAACCTTCTCGGGCCGTTGCTCCCCCGTAGAGAGGCAAACCCTTCGTAAGGGATGCTGGACGTGCCTGTAACGAACTGTCAGCGCAAACAAACCATCATGGACATGGGACACACATGGGGAGCAGGTTAGAAACTCATTTGCATGGGAAGTCCACGTGCCTGCGTGAAAGCACTGGCAAAACAAGGCAATTTGTGAGGCACAAGCGGTAAGTGCTACTTTAGGTGGAGGAGGAGGGAGAACAGGCCATTTCCTGGTCAGGCTCTGGAAGAGACAACTTATCAGATTACTTTCCTTCAAAGGTTTCAGCGGAATAAACCGCTGTAGAATAAACCATTATTACTATCAGGTAACTTAAACTGAGGCCTTAGTGAGTTTAAACTGAGGCCTTAGTGAGTTTTTCCCTACTGTCTTTACTCTGTACTAAGACCAACTAATAAAAAACCAACAATGGATAATAATGGCTTTGTGTTATGCCTGTTTGGCTATGTGGATTTCAATAACTTCATAAACCGTTATTAAATACGTTCTGAAGGTTAAGCATTTGCTGAAGCGCTGTTTGTTGAGCAGATTTAGTTACGACTTATCATGAACAGATCAAACACGGTTTTTCACAGATCAGAGGCTACTTAATTTTTAATGATTTGGATGCGACAAAAATTTCTAACAGATGTGACAGGAATATAAGCACACATCTGGATCTCTGTCAAATGAGAGGTCCCACACTGCTCTTTACGGACCTTTTAAAAGTACTTAAGTGAAAAAATCCTTCATCATACTCATCTAAGTAACTCAGTGACCAGAGGCAAATTCTGAATTGTTAAAAAATGGATTTCATAATTGATCAAGAACATGGTAAGGGTGGGGTGGCGGGCTCTCTGTTTCTTCACAGACATAATAATTTTTTTAAAAATAACTCTGTAGTAAACCCTCATGTAAAAATATAACGCTCACGGATGTAATAAACCTGGATGGGACCGGTCTAGCATCTAATTTTAATGACGCACACTACTTTCACACAGATCAGCTGATTTCTTACCTGTAAAAGCCTCAGTCGTTGTTCATTGTTGAACCTCTCCACAGCAGCCCAGAACCACCGGATCACAATGTGATTGTCATGATAACCTGTTAAAACAAGATGAGCCTTTATCGCTTTAGGTGCTACAAAAGTGGTTGACGGAATAGTTACAAGTTTTTCCCAGTTCAGCCCTAGTCACAACAACGCCCTACTTCTTATTCACTTGCAGCAAAAGGCAAGGCGAGAAAAGAATGCTACTAAAAAGCTTAAAAAATCGGAAAGGCAGAGAATTAATTGACAAAAAGGAGTGGCACCTCTTCTGCAAGCATTTCTTCAATTAATCAGTGACAGGAATGTCAATCACTCTTGCACTATGCCAGTGCTCTGCTTTTTAAATGTCTAAAGCTACCAAGGATGCGGCAACCGCCTCTCTCAAAGCAGCTCCCAAATCTTCCGCAACGCTCTCCAGTTATCTCAACCGCCAGCCTCAAGTCCCTGGGATTTACTTGTAATTTCCTGTGGCCTTTGAGAGCAGAAAACAGGTAGATCCTGCTAAGAACGGTTCCCATTCCCATTTGTCTCCAGAGTCTGGGTGGAACTCTACTAGTGGTCTCTGCTGAAGATGAATCTCATGGGCTCGACCTTTAGCGTCTTAGAAACTCAGAAATTCTGGGGAAGAACTCAAAATTCGGGTTACCTCCTCTGTACTCGGTGTTATTTCTCCAATCGCTCAAGTCAATTTCTGCTGTTCCAGCTATCACCAGTTCCAGTTCTCGGGCATCGAATACAGACACCAGCCTGGCATCAACCACCTGTGAAAGGAAACAAGATGCCTCACATGATTTCTTTGGGGATTTTTGCCTCCCCACATAAGGCTCCTCTGGTGCTAAGATACTTAGCAGGCAACATTTCTCTCATAAATGGAAAGAATGAGGGTTTTTTTCCTTTTTAAATGCAAGTAAATGGACTTTTCTTACACTGCAGTTCCATACAGTTTCTTTAGAGGATCACAGCCATTGGGAGAGAATTGTATTGGCCAATAGTACTGAGTTATTTCAGGAGAAATTAGATTTAATACACTCAATTTAATCGTCCATGTTAAAAGAAGTTAAGAGAGAAATACCTTGAAATACACTCAGTTTACCGTGTTACAGCGAGGATGGCCTGCACACCAAAGCAAGCATTCCCTGCTAACCATACAGACAGTATGTTCCAGTTTAAAGGAGTTCTATAACCACAGTGTTTAAGTCAATAACTAACAAATTTATTTTTTTACCCCCTCTGCTCTTCCATCATACCCATTAGGGCACTTCCTGGTTTTGCTGTTTGGGATTCTGTATTTGAGAAACATATATGAGAAGAAAAAATTTTTTGGAGGAAAGAAAGAAAGTAAATTTCAAGGTGGAGTTTTTTACCTCATAGAAACCACGAACTAGACTTTCCGTTTGTTGTACAACTCCTCTCTCAATTCTCCACTTCACCATTCTCTCTATATATTCTTTCTTGTTCTTTTCAGTGACTGGGATGTTGGCACCTCCTGGCTTCAGCTCCCGTTCTGTGATCTTAGGAAAAAAATGACCAAGTGACAACACAGTATTTTAAAGTCAAAAGAAAGAATTGTAACAATTTGTCTTTTTAAGTTGAAGTAATGCCTCAAGAGCATTAGCCAAAACTGACTTTATCAAACTGCAATATGTGAATTAAGAGAATATACAGCAAACCTTTTTCTGTATAAAATCATACTCAAAATCCCATTTAGTTTGAAGAATCCTCATATTTAGCATGAGGGGAAGAGAAAACAACATTTACAGCCACTAAACCAGTGAAGTCTTCTAAATATCAATGTAACGAAAGTGGTGTAAGACCTTTCAGTGCTAACTCTGCTGCAAGTAACTTTAGGCAAACTACCTCCAGCAGAGCAATTCAAAATTTCAGTATTTCAGATAGTCTCCAGAAAATCTCTTTAACTAGAAAGACATGTTGGACTGGTTACAAATCATAATTCCTCCTTAGATTTCAACATTGTTTTCATCAATCAGAATTTTGCCAAAACAAGTTCAAATCAGCATGGAATGACAATCGTTCTTTTGTCCAAATAAATGGTTATCCAGCAGTAGAACACACACAAGCAATTAAGAATCTTGCACACCTGCCCAAAAACTTCTTCATTTACAGTAAAGGTAAGATCCAAGATATCGTGTATATCATTGTCCTTCATCCACTGCAAACTCTGGTGAAACTCCTCATCCAGATATTCCAGGTCACTCAGGTCACAGAGTCTAAGACAAACAAGAAGAAAACACACAAACACAGATGACTTAACTAAACTCAGATAAGACAGTCCTCAGACTGAGAATGGCAGCCAAGAGAAAAATCAATAAAATAAAAGACAACGCTACTACAAATCTCCATTTGTTTGGTTAACGCAGTTACTGTGTAAGACAGCATAGTTCAGCTAATATACAGAACCCCAGAATTTATAAATGTGAAGGCACAGTGCTTTTTAAGTCTATGGTGCCCCATATTTCCTGTGAAGAACATTTTGAAGTTATGAAAATACCTAGATTGAACAGACAAAAGGTTCAAATCATAAACAAAACAGCTTTTCTAACAAGAAACTGCTAGGCTTTGTGCGTATGTGACCGCAATGCTGCCTCTCTCATCTCCTCACTGCGTGAAGAAGCCTGTTCAGACACCCTGCTTCCCATAGAAATATCTTTTTACCTTTTGCCGTATTTCTCCTTACGTGGCCCTTCTTTCGCAAATCCAGCCTGTAAGCTAAGTGCCCCTTGCTGCCTTTAGCACTTACTACCCCAAGCTTTGAATGTGTTACCAGTTAATACGCATTTCACACTGCCAGTCTTCTAAACTCCTGCGGTGTGAAACAGGGTACGGGGGCTGCTCATTAATGAGGGAGCCCTTCAGCTGCAGGGTTCCCTGCCTGCTTCTACGCTGGGGCCCACGTGCGGTCAGAAGAAAGCCCTGTACGTTCAGCGGGGCAGCTGCAGGAATGAGGCTGAGCGCAAAGGCGGCCACCCCTCATGTTTAATTCTACTGTTCAGAAAAACCACCAGGTTAAACAATGAATCTGGCAGCCCCACAACATTAAAGTTCATTTAGGGTAAGTCCTCGTTCTTATTAAAATGGTGCTGTTAGCATTTAGGTGCTTTTAAGGTATAGGTGCAATAGGAATGGATGCATTACTCCACGTTTCTAGAATGTATGATGTTTTAGACAAAAAACATCCTTCCAGGCTTCTAAAAACCAGCTTTCAAATGGAGGACAAAAAGCACCTTCAGTTCATCCGGTCCTAAACTCCAGACGTGCTGAGCAAGTGCAGGTCTCATAGTTTCAGCCAAAACGGGAGTAGTGGTTCTGAAAACCAAGTCTAAAGTGTATCGAAGGAAACCTCCTCCAAAGGGAGGCTGCCAGCAATCAGTCTGCCTCTGAGAATGGCTCTTGCAGTCTAAGTTACGAAGTGATTCATATCCTACCCCGTGAGTCATTACAAGACAAATGAATAAGGACTCTGTTATATCTGGAATAAAACCAGGGCATTTCACTGTACAGCTTCAAATGCAAGATTTTGTAGAAGAGAGCTGATAACACGGCTAAAACAAACATGAGGTTTTCGTACTGACCACAGAAAACCATTCTGAGTTAGGTAACTGGCTAATAATCACATGCAAAAACAAGTAAACTTTTAAAAAATTCCTGGATTGATATTAAACAATTAAATTATAAATAATGGCCTGTCTTCTGTGACAATAAAGCACCATCATGCACCGTCCATGGGGACGGAACGAAACAAGACAGGAGACAGAAAAACTGCACTTACATTCGGAGGAGGGCTTTATAAAAGGGTCGTGTAAAAAAGGCATCTAGCAAATACTGATGTATCAGAGCAAGACCAAGAATTCGACCACTAAACCTGAACCTGGAAGAGAAAGAGTTACAAACGTTATACTGAAACTTTGTGGTTTGTAGGCTGCTCTGTCATCAGGCTTACATATGTTTCCAAACAGCATTTTTAAATCAGATAGTGATGTCTAAGGTTTTTTTTCGTTTGTTTTATTTTTTCTTTCTTTCTTGGGTTTCTTTTACATTCTCAGTAAGGCACAGAAAAAATGCAAGTCTGCAGGGTGTGGAAAATCCCTCAGATACCTAAGTTGCAACTTCTCAAACCCAACAAACCCCTGTTAACCCCATCAACCCTTGCCAGACTGGCCTCTTGACGAAAGCTTATCTTCCAAGACGATGGCCACTGTCTATTTTCTTTACACACCCCTGATGAGATTAACTTGTTTGCATGCTACTGGGAGGCCAAAGGTTCTTCTGCCCTTTCCGCAGCCTGAGAGTTCTCCCTGTCTGTCTGTCCTGCTTACAGCAGCTCCTTGCTCCCCCTCCTGACTGGTGCCTATGGATTTCTATCTGGATTTTCACAAACAGCGGCTGGAAGCTTTTTTGATGCATCGCAGTGCTCTCCCAGCCTTATGTCAATGGGATCTCAGTGGTCTCCTCCTCTCCCCTCCCTCTTTCTTCCCCTGTTATCCTCATTTTGCCGGGTGTGTAAGGAGGGCTGGGTGGGAGTTAGACAGACCTGAGATCAGACAGCAGCAGCTTTGCACTTGTCGGGTCCTTGCAAATACTCCCATGAGAATAAAGACCCGTTGTGAAAAATCCTCCACGTCTCTGGAAGCAGATTTAAGTCTAGTGGTCTTTTTCAAAGAAAACTGTGTTTCTTAAACTTTCCCTTTATGCATCCTCAGCAAGACATCTGGATAGATTAATCTGGATAGATTAAGCCTATATTGCAAAGAGGGTTTGCAAGCTGAGGATGTGACAGGCAGAGCCTTCTCCTTCCACCCACAACTGCATGTTCTGAATTCCCCCAGAGGCTCGGCAAGACCAGCAGTGTCACTGCCACCAGAGCTCCCAGAAAGAGAGGGGGTCAGGCCTCCCTCACCCCCGAGGCCTCTGGTCCAGCACTGCAGAAGCCAGGGACGAACACACAACGCTGGCAGAAGCTGCAGAGCACAGAAGGGTTCTCTGTTCCCTTTCTGCCACGCGGTTCTGCTTTTCCAGCACAGCGTGTGCCACTCGATGAGGCACTACTAGAGTTCAAGAGGAAAGCTGCTTCAACCACCTGAACTGGATGCAGCCAGCGATTTCATTTGCTTACTTCTTTTAAACTAGTACTGACTCCTCTCTGATAAGTCATTCATCACAACAGGCTTCCAATAAATAAGAACTCAGTACGTATCTGCCCTACACAGATGAGCAGATGTTACTGCTGTCATCTAACTACTTACAACACAGAATCCTCTGTTAACAGCCACAGCACAGCTTTACAGATTTATGGCGATGCCGTGGCTTAAAGCAGCTGAGGGTGATTTAAACTGGCTTATAATTGTGAAAATGCGATTATGTAAAAATCCTGGGTAACTATTTTAGAAGTAGGTGTGTATGTGCAGACCTTGCCCGAGAGCTACGTAATCAGCAGTCTTCCTCTCACCCCAATTAAGACACCTCCATAGATTTCCTTCCAACAGATAATTGTGGCTTGGTTTTTTCCCCCACTGAGACCACCTCTGTACTCTTTAGGAAGATTCAAACAAATTCCATACAGCAACACCGGTTTGAAACCTCCCTTGATCTTGTGACAAAAAGCCAATGTTTCAATCTCCTTTTTAAACTGCATGAGAAGCTAATGTTGGTTTAATGAAATGGCTGGTCACGTACAAGAAACACAAGGAGTTGTGTTATGAGACAATCCCATGGCACGTGTTTCAAATTGCAGTTTTGCTGACCTTGTGAGAAGTAAGATCATTTAAACCCACAAGAGAAAACAAGATCAGGAAAGTCTAAAGAAATGCAATTATTTTGCTACTGGCTAAAAAGACCAAATGCTGTATTTCACATCTGCGCAGTTATGAGCAGTTGTCTACAAGTGGGAGCAACAGAAAAAGTATCTGAGAAACCAAAAGAAAAAGAATTCTTACCACTCATGGTGATTGTCTACAAAAGCAGACATGGGACTTATTTGTACTGTGTAGGTATCGTTGGCTGAATATTCAAACAAACCATAATACGGATTGAAGAGCTCTCTGGACACCAGGAAAAAAAATTCTCTTGATGGTCCGCTGTAGTCCAACCTTTAAAGAGAAACCTGACGTTACTGCAAAGTGTCTGCTGTGTGCAAAGAAACCCTTTTTTTTTTTTTTTTTTTTTTTAAAACACTTTTTCTCTTCT